AGGCAGAGTGCAAAGAGACGTAGTGGGCCCCTGAAGTGGTGTGCTGGTAATGAGAGGTAAGTTTGTGCACCAAAGTTGTAGTTGAAGTCAAGAGATGGACTGGAGGGATGCGACATGGATACCAGGGATGACTGTGAGAAGAAGCTACCAGTTATCTGAACGAATTCAGGCAGAATTTTACATGATGTGGTCTCTAATAGCTTCAACTATTAGTTTGTTCTCTGACCTCTTATGTTTTGTATGAATCATGTACTTACTCTTATACCCTGTTTGTCTTGTTCTGTAGCTGTTCACCAGACTGGACATAACAGTGGTGTCATACATAGTGGAATTTATTATAAACCTGAGTCTCTGAAAGCCAAATTATGTGTACAAGGTGCAGCCCTTCTCTATGAATACTGTCAGCAAAAGGGAATTTCCTACAAGCAGTGTGGCAAGGTATGGCATTTTACCAGAGCCTTGATTGATTTCCAACTAGCGTTTTCTTAGTGATGTTTAGTATTACATTTTAAAAAAATGTGGTATTTTGTTTCTTTGTATCTATGTAATTTTTTAAATCTAATCTTAGGGAAGAACTAAAAAAAGATGGTGTGACTTTATGTAATTTTCTAAATAAAAGTTTTATTGACATATAATTTATGCACCCTACATTTCGCCCTTTTAAAGTGCACAGATCAGTTTTTAGTATACTCACAGAGCTGAGCAATCATCACCACTATCTAATTTTAGGCTTTTTCATCACCCCAAAAAGAAACCCCATATCCATTAACAGTCACTCCCCATTTCCACCTCCCCTGATACTCTAGCAACCACTTTCTGTCTTTGTGGATTTGCCTATTCTGCACTTTTCATATAAATACCTTCATATGCTATGTGGTCTTTTGTGCTGACTTCTTTCACTTAGCATAATGTTGTCAAAGTTCATCCATGTTATAGCATGAATCAGTACTTCATGGCTTTTGTGGCTGAACAATATTCCATTGTATGGATATACCACATTTTGTTTATTTGTTCATCAGTTGATAGACATGTGGATTGTTTCCACCTTTTGGCTGCTATGGATACTGCTGCTGTGAACATTCATGTACAAGTTTTTGTGTGAACATATGTTTTCATTTATGTTGGGTATATACCTGGGAGTGGTATTGCTGGTTGTCAGGGTAACTCCATGTTTAACATTTTGAGGAACTGCCAAATGGTTTTCCAAAGCGCTGTACTATTTTACATTCCCACCAGTAATTAATTAGGATTCTAATTTTCCATGTCCTTGCCAACATCTATTTTGATTTGTCTTTTTTATTTTAGCCATCCTAGTGGAAGTTTTGATTTGCAGTTCCCTAGGGATAATGATGTTGAGTGTCTTTTATTTCTTCCTTTTTAGAAAATAGTTCTATTTTCTAAATATTAGCCAGATAGTGTGGCTAATGCCTGTAATCCCGGCACTTTGGAAGGCCAAGGCTGGAGGATCACTTGAGCCCAAGGGTTCGAGACCAGCTCAGGCAACATAGTGAGACCCCATCTCTACAAAAAATTTAAAAAGTTAGCCAGGTGCGATGGTGCACACCTATAGTCCCAGCTACTTGGGAGGCTGAGGTGGGAGGACTGCTTGAGCCTGGGAGATCGAGGCTGCAATGATCCATGATCATGCCACTATATTTCAGCCTGGGGGACAGAGCGAGGCCTTGTCTCAAAAAAAAAAAAATTAAAATTATTACTTTTTAACTTTATTTCTTATTTAAAAGTTGAGACGGGATCTTTCTTTGTTCCCCAGGCTGGTCTCAAACTCCTGGCTTCAAGCACTCCTCCTGCCTTGGCCTCCTAAAGTGCTGGGATTACAGGTGTGAGCCACTGTGCCTGGCCTAAAATTATTTTTTAATTGACAAAAACTGTATATATTTATCATGTACAACATGTTGTTTTGTAGTATGTATACGTTGTGGGCCGGGCACGATAGCTCACGCCTGCCTGCAATCCCAGCACTTTGGGAGGCTGAGGCAGGTGGATCACGTGAGGTCAGGAGTTTGCGACCAGCCTGGCCAACATGGTGAAACCCCATCTCTACTAAAAATATAAAAATTAGCCAGCTGTGGTAGCACACACCTGCGATGCCAGCTGCTTGGGAGGCCGAAGCACGAGAATTGCTTGACCCTGGGAGGCAGAGGTTGCAGTGAGCCGAGACCTCACCACTGAATTCTAGCCTGGGCAATAGAGTGAGACTCTGTCTCAATAAGTATGTGTACATTGTGGAATGGCTAAATCAAGCTCACCAACATATGCATTACCTTTCATACTTATTTTTTTTTATGATGCAAAGACTTAAATCTACTCTCTGAGCAGTCTTCAAGAATATAATACGTTATTAACTACAGTCAACATTTTGCGTAAAAGATATCCTGAACTTACTCCTCTTACTTAACTGAAATGTTGTGTCCTTTAACAAGTATCTTTCCATACCACCCCTGCCTCCCTGCCGCCCCCAGCCCCTGGTAACCACCATTCCACTCTCTACTTCTGTGAGTTCAACTTTTTGAGATTCTACATATAAATGAGATCATGCAGCATTTATCTTTCTGTGCTTGGTTTATTTCACCTAAGATAATGTCCTCCAGGTTCATCTCTGTTGTCATTTGTGGCATGGACCATTTGTGACAATAGAGATGAACATGGAGGATATTATCTTAAGTATTTCTCATTATCTTAAAGATTTTCTCCTTTTTTAAGGATGACTGGTATTTTGTTGTGTATCCGCCCAACCCGGCCTCCCACAGTGTTGGGATTACAGGCGTGAGCCACCACGCCTGGCCTGATCATATGGTTTTTGTCCTTCATCTTGTTGATACGATGTGTCACATTGATTCATTTACATATGTTGAACCATCCTTTGCATCCCTGGGTTAAATCCCACTTGGTCATGATGAATGATCTTTTTAATGTGTTGTTGAATTTGGCTTGCTAATATTTTGTTAAGGATTTTTGTATAGTGTTCATCAGGGATATTGGCCTATAGTTTTCATTTTTTTGATGTGTCTTTGTCTGGTTTTGGTATTGGTACTACCAGCCTCATGGAATGTGTTTGGAAATATTTCCTCCTCTATTTTATGGAATAGTTTGAGTAGGGTTTGGTATTAGTTCTTTAAATGTTTGGTAAAATTTAGCAGTGAAGCCATCAGGTTCTGGGCTTTTCTTTACTGGGAGACTTTTTATTATGGCTTCGCTCTTATTGCTTGTTACTGGTTTGTTCAGGTTTTGGATTTCTTCATGGTTCAATCTTGGTAGGTTGTATGTGTCCAGGAATTTATTCATTTCTTCTAAGTTTTCTAATTTATTGGCATATATATTTGGTCATAGTAGCCTTTAACAATTTTTTGAATTACTGTGGTATTGATTGTAGTATCTCCTTTTTCATCTCTGATTTTATGTATCTGGGTCTTCTCTTTTTCTTAGTCTGACTAAAGATTTGTCAATTCTATTTATCTTTTCAAAAAAACCAACCTTTCATTAATCTTTTGTATTGTTTTCTTTGTTTCGATTTCATTTATTTCTGCTCTGATCTTCATTATTTCTTTCCTTCTACTAATTTTGCATTTGGTATGCTCTTGCTTTTCTAGTTTTTTAAGATGCATTGTTAGATTATATGAAGTTCTACTTTTTTTATATAGGTGCTTAGAGCTATAAACTTTCCTGTTAGTACGGCTTTTGCTGTTTCCCATAGGTTTTGGTATGTTGTGTTTCTGTTTTCATTTGTTTCATTTAGGAGCATATTGGTTTTGTCTGCTTGTTTATTTTTTTTAGATGGAGTCTCACTCTGTCACCCAGGCTGGAATATAGTGGCACTATCACAGATCACTGGAGCCTTGACCTCCCACGCTCAAACAGTCATCCCACCAGCCGGGTGTGGTGGCTCATGCCCATAATCCCAGCACTTTGGGAGGCCGAGGCAGGGGGGATCACCTGAGGTTGGGAGTTCGAGAGCAGCCTGACCAAGATGGAGAAACCCCGTCTCTACTAAAAATACAAAATTAGCTGGGTATGTTGGCGCATGCCTGTAATCCCAGCTACTTGGGAGGCTGAGGCAGGATAATTAATTGCTAGAACCTGGGAGGCAGAGGTTACAGTGAGCTGAGATCGTGCCATTGCACTCCAACCTGGGCAACAAGAGTGAAACTGTCTCAAAAAAAAAAAAAAAAAAAAAGTCCTTCTACCTCAACCTCTGGAGTAATGGGGATCACAGGTGCACCACCATGCCTGGCTAATTTTTTTTTTTTTGAGATGGAGTCTTGCTGCCACCCAGCCTGGAGTGCAATGATGCCATCTCAGCTCACTGCATCCTCCACCTCCTGGGTTCAAGCAATTCTCCAGCCTCAGCCTCCCAAGTAGCTGCGACTACAGGTGCACACCACCACGCCTAGCTAATTTTTGTATTTTTAGTAGAGATGTGGTTTCACCTTGTTAACTAGGCTGGTCTCAAACTCCTGACCTCAAGTGATCTACCCGCCTCAGCCTCCCAAAGTGCTGGGATTACAGGCGTGAGCCACCATGCCCAATCATTTTGTTGTTGTTGTTGTTCTTTTTTTTTTTTTTTTTTTAAGTTAGGATCTCCCTCCATTGCTCAAATTGGTCTCAAACTCCTGGGCTTAGGTGCTCAAGTGATTTCTCACCTTGGCCACCTAAAGTGTTGAGATTACAGGTGTGAACCACCGTGCCTGGCCAGCAGCATATTGTTTAATTTACATGTGTTTGTATAGTTTCCAAAATTCCTCTTGTTATTGATTTCTAGTTTTATTCCATTGTGGTCAGAGAATATACTTGATATAATTTCATTTAAAAAAATTTTTAAAGACCTGTTTTGTGGCCCAACATATTGGTCTATCCTTGAGAATGATCCACGTGCTGGAGAGAAGAATATATATTCTGTGGCTTTTGGATGAAACTGTCTGTAAATATCTATTAGGTCCATTTGGTCTGTAGTGCTCAGTAGTTTATTCTTTGTGATGCTTTTGTGAGAATTGTTCTCCTAATTTCATTTTTTGTAATTCATTGCTAATGCATGGAATATGATTGATTTCTGTATGTTGATTTTTTTTTTTTAATCCAGTGACCTTTCTGAACTCATTTTGTTCTAATTGTGTGTGTGTGTGTCTGTCTGTATATGAATTCCTTAGGCTTTACTATATGCAGGATCATGTCATCTGCAAATAAGTTTCTTTTCCAATTTAGATGTCTTTTACCTACTTATTCTGCTTACCTGATTTCCACGAGTGGAAGCTCCAATACTGTGTTGAACAGAAGTAGTAAAAGTGGACCTTTTTGAATTGTTCTTGATCTAATGGAGAAGCATTCAATCTTTTACCCTTAAGTTTGATGTTAGTTGTGGATTCCCTTTATCAGATTAAGAAAGTTCCTTTCTGTTCCTAGTTTGTTGAGTGTTTTCTATCATGAAAAGGTGTTGAATTTTCTCAAATGCCTTTTCTGCTTCTATTGAGGTGATCATGTGGTTTTTATCCTTTATTCTGTTAATGTAGTGTATTAATACATTTTTGGATGTTAAACTGATTTTACATTCCTGTGATAAATCCCTCTTGGTCATGGTGTAAAATCCTCTCTATATGTTGCTGCATTCAGTTTATTAGTATTTTGTTCAGGGTTTTGCATTAATATTTTAAGGGATATTGGTTTGCAATTTCTTACGATATTTGGTTTTCATAAAAGGCAAAATACTTTTTCTTTCTGAAGAGAAACCAGAGCACTGGTTGTAGTATCAAACTAATATTGGCCTCACAGAATTAGTTGGGAAGTGATTCTTAGTCTTCTGTTGTTTGGAAGAGTTTATGAAGAATTAGTTTTTTTTTTTTTAAACATCTGGTAGCATTTGTGAATAAAGCCTCTCAGCCTGGGCTTTTTTTTTTTTTAATGTGGGAAGTTTTCAGTCACTTCATGTGTTATAGGTTTATTAAGTTTTTCTTGTCGAATCAGTTTCAGAACTTTGTGTTTTTCTAATAATTTGTTCATTCCATCTAGATTTTCTAATTTGTTGCCATACAATTGTTCATAGTGTTCTTTTATAAGTCCTTTTATTTCTGCAATGTTGGTAGTCATGTCCCTTCTTCATGTAAGTTTTTTTTTTTTTGGAGACAGGATCCCACTTTGTCACCCAGGATGGAGTGCAGTGGCACAATCTTGGCTCTTTGTAGCCTTGACCTTCTGAGCTCAAGTGATCCTCCCACCTCAGCCTGTTAGTAGCTGGGACTACAGGTGCACACCACCACACTCAGCTAATTTTTTTGTATATTTTTTTGTGTGTGTGTCTAGATTCCATCTAAATCTAGATGGAATGAGTCACCATGCCTGGCCCTTATAATTTTTAAGAATAAAAACTTACTGTTACCATTAAAGATGCTGGGTGTGGTGGCTCACGCCTATAATCCCAGCACTTTGGGAGGCTGAAGTGAGTGGACCACCTGAGGTCAGGAGTTCCAGACCAGCCTGGCCAACATGGTAAAACCCCGTTTCTACGGAAAATATAAAAATTAGCTGGGCATGGTGGTGGGCACCTGTAATCTCAGGTACTTGGGAGGCTGAGGCAGGAGAATCGTTTGAACCTGGGACACAGAAGTTGCAGTGAGCTGAGATCCTGCCATTGCACTCCAGCCTGGGTGACAAGACTGATACTAAAAAAAGATGCTTTGAGGAAAAAAAAAAAAATTGTAGGGCTGGACTCAGTGGCTTATGCCTGTAATCCTAGCACTTTGAGAGGCTGAGGTTGGCAGATTACTTGAGCCCAGGAGTTTGAGACCAGTCTGGGCAATGTGGTAAAATGCTGTCTCTACTAAAAATACCAAAAATTAGCTGAGTGTGGTGGCACATGCCTGTAGTCCCAGCTTCTAGGGAGGCTGAGGTGGGAGAATCACTTGAGCTTGGAAGTCGAGGCTGCAGGGAGTCATGAATGGGCCACTTCACTACAGCCTGGGCAATGGGAGTGAGACCCTGTCTGAAATAAATAAATAAATAAATAGAAATTTAAAAAATAGAAACAAATTTTTTGAAGAGACAGAGTCTTGCCCTGTTGCCCAGGTTGGAGTGCAGTGGCACAGTCACAGCTCACTGCAGCCTTGAACTCCTGGGCTCAAGTGGTCTTCTTGCCTCAGCCTTTGAAGTAGCTTGGATTATAGACATGAGCCCCTGTGCATGGCCACATTTTAAAAAATAATTCAGTACAATGGGCCTGACATAAGTGAAAAAGGCAAGGTATAAAAGTCTAGTTTCAGTTTTTCTCATTGAGTTGTAAGAATTCTTTACATATTCTAAATACAAGATCTTTATCAGCTACGTGATTTGCAAATATTTTTTCTCATTGTGTGGGTTATCTTTTCAATTACTTGATAGAGTCCTTTGATTCCACTTCTGTTTTTAAGGTTAATTATTTATTGATTTAAGCCTTTATACCTTGATTAAAAGTGTCACCTCATGAAATTCGGTTGCCTCTTTGGTATGAAATAATGACTTGTGAATTCTAATATACCTTCAAATATGCACCTGTGTTTTCCTTTGCCCCTTTCCTTAAGTAAAGAAGAAACTGTACCTCAAACAGATATTTTTCCCATAAATAAATAGAAAATAAGTTGATGAATTTACTGTTTTTCCCCTTGCAACAGAATGTATTAGTAAATACTTTATAATGTATTCCAAAAATAAAAGGGATTGTCTTGTCAATTATATTCCATTACATTCAATAACAGTTGTCTTTCTGATATGCTGATATTTTACATTTTCCTGAAGAAATAAGGAGGCCATTCTGTTTTGGGGGGGGGCGGTGGTGGGGAAGTAAAGTCCAAGCAACTTATGCTTCTCTCCCTTCTGGGATTGAGAATGTGGTAGTGATGAGCTGCTTATGACCCAGATGCACATAGAGACTGTGGTAACAGAAGTGGAAATTGAGGCTACATTGCACTTTTAGGGAAAATTTGTTTTTATGCCATTTTCTTAAGACAACTTTTCTTGGTGGAGGAAAAAAATAGTCATGAAGAAAGGAAGAATTAGATATGTGAAGAAAAAATAATTAAAAAAAATTAACCTCGTTTGGGTCATACGATAGTTGATGATTTTCCACTGACTTTATCTTTCATCACTGATGATACATTGACCTCTATCAATGCTCCTTACCTTTTTTTTTTTTTTTTTTTTTGAAGCTTATAGTAGCTGTTGAACAAGAAGAAATTCCCAGACTTCAGGCCCTGTATGAGAGAGGCCTCCAGAATGGTATCCAGGGCCTGAGGCTGATCCAGCAGGAGGATATAAAAAAGAAGGAGCCATATTGTAGGGTAAGTGATTAACTAGCTTCAAAGGGATGTTTTTATTTAGGGCTTAGTCCTGTGACATGGAGGCTGAGGGTGAGTTTATAGGAGGCAGGAATAATGTAAAATCAGTCAGATAATCCTGTCACAGAAGCAGTGAAGTGACAGACACAAAAGGGCATTGCCACAAACTCTGGACACCTGATTTCTTTCTCTGTGAGAAAATACCAGGTGTGAGCAACATGAACAAAGACAGGAGGAGGCCTAAGACCACATGGCATGTTTGGAAAACACTGAGCAGTGAGGTGTGATTGGGAGCATTGGGTATATAGGGAAAGATAAGAGATGAGACTGAAAAGGCAGGGTTAGGCCCACATAAAGGGCTTGGCATTCATGCTAATAACATTGAAGTTTATCCAGTAGGCATGGGGAGCCATTGAACATTTTTGGAGGAGGGCAGCTGTAGTGTCTGATCTATATCACAGGTGGATAAGGCTGGCATGAGTTTGAAGAGTAGCTTGTAGACTATCTTCCTTAAACTTGCCATAGGGAAAAAAACAGATCTTTATTCATGAAAGAGACAGGAATAGTAATATAACAGTTATTCTGCATGTTAACTTTCACTGATAACCTTTCAGAGACTATTAGTCCAACTTCGCAGTTTCACTGACTGTTCCAATGAATGGCTAATTTTCTCCTGTGGGTAGAAATTTAACTGTTCCAATAGCTGGACTTCCGGAACGTGTCTCAGAGAATGTGACCTTGAACTCGCTATCAGGCAATGCTTTTTAACTTGGTTTAGAGAAACACTATGGGAAATAGGCTGGAAAATGTGTAGACTATTAGACCATTTATTTGTTCATCTACATCTCTCAGAGTGGCATGTCTACACTGCAGTGTTTTGTCTTCCCCATTCTACTCCTTGACCCCAATTACTGTCTTTGAATTGTGCTTTGGTTTTATGGCATCAGCCTATGGAGAAGGTCATTGTGTCAATCACTGTGACCTCCATTGTGAGGATGTGGTTGAGGACATAAGTTATTCACTCTGTTACACAACATCTTGCTCTGAGAACCTGCAGGAGACATTTCTCTCAGATCTTAGTTCTGAGAATAATTTTATTCTTCCTGACCACAGTTGGCTTGTTTTTATCTTATGGACATTGAGTGATTTAACTGATTGCATTGCCCTGTGTACTTTGGCTGCAAGGAAGCTCAGAGACACATTTGTGCCCTACTCCTGCCAGATATCTAGGGCCTTAAACATACATTTTTATTTTTGTATACTAACTTCCCTCTTCATTTCATCTTACCTTTCCACCCTCCTTTTCTGTCTACCCTAATTTCTTGGAACCATAACATACAATGGAAATTATAAATGGATAGCTTAGTGAATTTTCACAAAGTGTGACCAGCACCCAGGACAACGAACAAATGTTACCAACCTCCCAGGACTCTCCTCATGTCCTTCCACTTGGACGTTTCCCCTAAGAGTAAACACTGTCCTGACTTCTTACATCATAGGTGGTTGAATTTTAGGTAAGTAGAATGATATAATATGTGTTCTTTTGTATCTGAACTTTTTTTTTTTTTTTTAAGACACGGTTTTGCTGTGTTGCCCGGGCTGGAATGCAGTGGCACAGCATTATTATAGCTCATGGTAACTTTGAACTCCTGAGCTCAAATAATCCTCCCACTTCAGCCTCCCGAGTAACTGGGACAACAGGTGTGTGCTACCACATCCAGCTAATTGTTTTTTAAAAAAACTTTTTAATTAAATTTTTTGTTAACCCAGGCTGGTCTTGAATTCCTGGGCTCAAGTGATCTACCCATCTTGGCCTCCCGAAGTGCTAGGATTACAGTTGTCAGCCATCATGCCCAGCTGTGTCTGGGCTTCTTAAGTTCAATATTGTTTATTAAATTCATCCATATTGTTACATATATTTGTAGTTTGTTTGTTGTCCTTGCTGTATACCGCTATGAATGTAGCATGGTTCATTCTACTGTTGATGGGCATTTGGATAGTTTCCAATTTGGGACTCTTCCAAAAATTGCTGCTATGAAAATTCTAGTACATATGTTTTAGTGAGCACACGTACACGTTTTTATTGGGTATATACCTATGAAGGAACTTGCTAGTTTGCAGTTTATGGATATGTTTAGCTTTGGCAGGTATTACAGAGTTTTCCAAAGTGTTTGTCCCAATTTATACTCTCATGACCGTTCCAGTGCTCCATATCCTCAACCAACACTTGGTATTGCTTATTGGTTTTATTTTAGCCATTCTGGTGGGTATGTAGTAGTATCATATTATGATTTTAATTTATATTTCCCTGTGGATTCACACCTTTATGCACCTTTATATGTATTTACTGACAATTTGGATATTTTATTTTGTGAAGTACCTGTTTGAGTCTTTTACCCACTTTTCTATTGGGTTGACCGTCTTTCTTATAATTATTAATTATTCATTTTAGGACATATGTAGTCTGGATATGAGTCTTTTGTTGGATATATATATATGCATATACACACACACACACACACACAAACTGCATATCACAAATATCTCCTACTCTGTAGCATGTCATTTTATTTTATTTTATTTTTTTGGAGAAACAGGGGGTCACTCTGTCACCCACGCTGGAGTGCAGTGGTGTGATCACAGCTCACTGCAATCTTGAACTCCTGGGCTCAAGCAATCTTCCTGCCTCAGCCTCCTGAGCAGTTAGGACTACAGGTGTGTGCCACCACACCCAGCTAATTTTGTATTTTTGTATTTTTGCAGAGATGGGGTCTTGCTATGTTGCCTAGGCTGATCTCAAACTCTAGGGCTCAGGTGATCCTCCTGCCTTGACCTCCCACAGTGCTGGGATTACAGCGTTTCACTTTCCTAATATTGTCTTCAGATTAATAGAAATTCTTAATCTTAATGTTACCAATTTATGCCTATGTTTGTTTTTTATGGTTAGTGTTTTTTGCGTTTTAGTTAAATTTTCTGGATGCATTCAAAGACTTTGTAAGAGAAATAAAATAAAATAGAAAAAAAAAAGAAATCTTTGCCTAGCCCAAGGTCTAGAAGATATTCTATGTGTTTCTCTAAAAGTTTTATTGTTTTACGTTTCACATTTAGATCTGCAGTCCATTTGGAATTGATTTTTATATATGGTATAAGTTAGGGGTCAAGGTATATTTTTTCCCCAAACGGATACCCAGTTGAGTCAGCATCACTTATCAAAAAACCATTATTTTCCCACTGTGCTGCAGTATTGCCTTTATGATATCAGGTATGTGGCGGGTCTATGTCTGGACTCCATTCTGTTCCATTGCCTCTTCTGTGCTACTACCATAATGTTTAATTATAATAGCCATTTTTTTTTAATGGGGTTTCACTCTGTCACCCAGGCTGGAGTGCAGTGATGTGATCATAGCTCACCATGGCCAGCTAATTTTAAAATGTTTTGTAGAGACAGAGTCTCACCATATTTCCTAGGCTGGTCTCGAACTCCTGGGCTCAAGTGATCCACCTGCCTCGGCCTCCCAAGCTGCTAGGAATACAAGCATGAGCTATAGTAGCTTGGCCTATAGTAGCTTTTTTTTTTTTTTTTTGAGACGGAGTCTCTCTTTGTCACCCAGGCTGGAGTGCAGTGCCACTATCTCGGCTTACTGCAACCTCCATCTCCTGGGTTCAAGCAATTCTCCTGTCTCAGCCTCTCCAGTAGCTGGGATTACAGGCACCCGCCAACATGCCTGGCTAACTTTTGTATTTTTATTTATTTATTTATTTATTTTAAGACGGAGTTTCACTCTTGTTGCCCAGGATGGAGTGCAATGGCGCAATCTCAGCTCACCGCAACCTCTGCCTCCTGGGTTCAAGTGATTCTCCTGCTTCAGCCTCCCGAGTAGCTGGGATTACAGACATGCACCACCAGGCCCAGCTAATTTTGTATTTTTAGTATAGATGGAGTTTCTCTGTGTTGGTCAGGCTGGTCTCGAACTCCCGACCTCAGATGATCCTCCAGCCTTGGCCTCCCAAAGTTCTGGGATTACAGGCATGAGCGCCTGGCCCTATAGTAGCTTTTTAATGGGCCTGAATATCTGGTAGAGTAAGGCCTTCAGTTTTTTTCTTCAACGTTGTCTTGGCTTTTCTTGGATCTTTACATTTCTACATGAATTTTGGAGTTAATTTGCTAAACTTCACAATATAACCTGTTATGATTTTGATTAAGGTTGCACTGAATCTGTATGTCTATGTGGAGACAATTTACATCTTTGTAGTATGGAGTCTTCCAATCCTTGAACTTCATATATCCCTCCCTTTGTCTGGATCTGTTTTGATTTATTATATAATGTATTATGATTTTCAGGATATAAGTCTTGCATGGCATGTCTCTTACATTTATGTCTACAAATAATTTGTATTTGATGTTTTCTGATACTCATTAATAGTATTGTTATTTAAAGTTCATTTTTTATTTGTTTGTTGCAGGTATATGTGGAAATATAATTGATTTCTGACCTTGTATTCAACTTTCTAGTTAAATTTACTTATTGGTTCTAAATAATTTGTCTAGAAATTCTTTTGGATTTTTTATACCCAAACATTTTATCTCAAATAATAACTATTTTATTTCTTCTTTTCTAATTCATATACTTGGTTGATCCAATGGTTAATCCTAGTTTGTATAGTTTTATATGTGTTTTTTTATTTTTACAAACTGCTTCATCCTTTCTGCAAAAAAGATAAGATAGAAATGTATTTTTTCAAGTTCAGGACAAATAAAAGCTTAAAGGAAAAAAAAATGTATTTTTTCTCTTTATCTCTGGTTGTAAAGTTAAAGTTGGGTCAAAATATGCAAGATTTTCTGAATTCATGTAAAACTCCTAAGACGCTGATAGTACCCAGGAGTCTAAATAATGTTGAATGAGTTCTTCCTGCAGAGAAGGTTATAGCATCTTGGTCTCCAGCAAGCCACTATTCCTTTCCTGGCACTCAGTCAGGATAATCAAACTATTTTGCTTGTGGGA